ATAAAGATTTCAGAAAGGTGCCACACTTACTGTTTTGAATAGAAAAAAAAGTTATAGCCGCTTTTGTGGGTAAAGGACTGAGACACGCTAGAATGTATTTAATAGATTTGAATTGAATTTGCTCTTGTTACCGTCAAATGACATGCTAAATAGTACAAAGGTACATTATTACCTGCTCCTGACATTATTTTGTGTTACTAACCGGAATTAGTGAAAGTGGATTTTGTGAAATTGGACCCTTCGAACATTGTGTTATTAATACTATGACAGAGAACACGCAGTATACGTCGCATGAATATGCGGATATTCACCTAATTTACGGTGAAGCTTGCTGTAATGCCAGAGCTGCTCAAAGACTCTATGCAGAGCGATACCCCAATCGTCGACATCCGGGTCGTGAAGTATTCGCCCGGACCAATAGAGAAATATATGAAGGTAAGTGATTTTTACACCTTTCTTGTTTGCTTGCTTGTTAACTATCATTTTTCACTTTTTTAAGGTCGCATACCTGGAAGGCGTGGCGACGAAACAGGACGTCCTGCAACGGTAGATGTTGAAGCTGTGTTAGAGGAAGTGGAACTAGGTCCATCGACTTCAGTGAGAATGATGGAAAGACGGACGGGAATACCAAAAACTACAGTTCACAAAGCTTTGAAAGACCATCGATTTCATCCCTACCACATTCAAGGTGTTCAGGCTCTACAAGAAAAAGATTACCTGTCGAGGGTTAGATTTTGCCGTGAAATGTTGCGAATGCATGAATCAGACCCCAACTTTTTTATTAAAATAATTTGGAGCGATGAATTATCATGCAAACGTGATGGCTATTTTAATTTACATAGCCTTCACAGTTGGCAGATAGACAATCCTCACGAAATGAGAGAAGATCGTTCGCAGTACCGGTACAAAATTAATTTATGGTGCGGTATTTTTAACTGTCAGATATTGGGACCTGTGGAACTGCCGTCAACGCTGAACTCTCACAATTATTTAGAGTACCTTCAGGAACGGCTTCCAACTCTTTTGGAAGATGTACCCTTAAACCTGCGGCGAAGACTATGGCTGCAACATGACGGGTGCCCTGCTCACTACGGGCGTGAAGTAAGAGCTCATTAAGACGAAACTTATCCTCGCCGATGGATTCGCCGACACGGGCCAATCACGTGGCCCACTCGATCGTCAGAGCTGAATCCATTAGATTTTTTCTACTGGGGCTATCTTAAGGACAAAATTTATTCAAATACAATCAAAACGAAAAGCATTTGCGGGAACAAATAAATGGAGCTGCTGCTGAGATAGCCCAATTGAGTTTAAGATCTCTAAAAGCGTCTTTTCTTAACAGAAGCCGAGCTTGTATTAGAGTAGAAGGTCGCCAATTTGAGCATATTTTATCAATAAATGAATAAATTTTTCTTCAAACAACTCATGTATATCTTATTTCACGTGAACCCATCCTTCACACAAAATATTGATAGATATTGCCCTTGTTATAGACTCTAGTCCGAATTCCGGTAAGTAACATAAAATAATGCCAGAAGCAAGTAATTATGTACCTTTGTACTATTTAGCATGTCATTTGACGGTAACAAGAGCAAATTCAATTTAAATCTATTAAATACATTCTAGCGTGTGTCAGTCCTTTACCCACAAAAGCGGCTATAACTTTTTTTTCTATTCAAAACAGTAAGTGTGGCACCTTTCTGAAATCTTTATTAAATGAGCAATTTTTTTATGTAATGTAAAGTTATAGCTCAGTACATTTTTTTT